AAGCTACTCCACTAATGGCCAGAAGATGGCGCAGGTTTTCCATTTACCTCATTCATGTGTCGTTAGGAGGAAATATTGATCAAATAAAATTTCTTAATCTCGTTACATAAATCCAGAAGAACATCCCCACCCCGAAACTGTGAAAGGAAACGAAAAACTAGTATCTTTAAGCGGCGTCCTGTTTCCATAGAAGCTAGTCTTCTCCGGAAAAAGATTAGTAGATTAGGACATGTCCTCTGAACTAGAATAGCACTACACCCAAAGGAAAGCTGTAACCAATCCCTAATTCTATCTTCGCTGCAGATTCAGGGCCAGCTGTTAAAATAAGGTGGAATTTAGGAACAACAGCAGTGAAAAGGAAAGGGAGAGAATCTTTAGTCCCAGGGCAGGTCTTACTCAAGGTCATACCGCTGACCAGTGGTGATCTCAACCCAACGGCCTGCGTATGGAGCCAGCTCTCTTATGAGTGGGCATTATTGCATTCCAGGAAAACAAGGACTGGACAAAGTCATGAGTGCCTTAATGAAACTGGAGGCCAAACAAGTCCAGGGGTCGTGCTGCCTGCGTCGCCCAGCCAATAGACCGACACAGGTGCTGGATCATAGAGTAAGTGTTTATTATCAGAGCACTGGTGGGTCTGAGAAGGCAGCGGGTTAACACCTCCAAAAACTGCCTTAACATTCTCAGTTCAACTGGGGGTTTTTAAGGGAAATTCTGGGCATCTCTCCAGAGGCTATGTGACAGTTCCAGGGGTGTCTGCATGGAGCCTCCCTGTGGCCACGTGATTCTATGGTGGGGTCAGCAACCCAGGAACAATGCTGGGATTAGCCTGGTAGATCACTGAGATTGTGATCAATAAGCCTAAGGGTATGAATCATAAATTTCAGGGTAATTTTCTAAAATAGGGAACTGAGTAGGACAGGGGACATTCCGAGCTCCAGCCACAGGGTCTATTGTTAAGCTATAGGTAGGTCAAGGAAAGTTGAGGCCAGGGACGTGGAGAGGCCTCTACTATGGAGGTGCCAACTGGGCCCTGTTTCATTAATAGCAGACGTCCTAAGATGCTGGGCCTCAGAAGGGTTCCTAATTCAGGCTGGAGAGTCAAGCAAGGCTTCTTCTTAGAGGAGTGGCATCAAAAGAGAACTCTGATAGAACAAAGGTCAGCAAACTGTGGCGCACGAGCCACATGTGCCTCTTTGGGTACGTTCCATCTCAAAAGTTTGCCGACCCCTGGAAGAGCCAATCCTGTCCCTCACAACAATTTAAAAATTATCTGAGAGCCATAAATATATTTTTGCAAATAAGGCAAATTTAAAGTATTATTATAAATGAAACTATGATAGCTTTATTTTCATTTTTAATTTTACTTCAGAGCCACATGTACGTACCCAAAGAGCCGCATGTGGCTTGCGAGCCGCAGTTTGCCAACCCCTGGAGGCTCTTTCTTCTCAAACGTTTGCTGACCCCTGTAATAGAACAATACTTGGCACATAGTACGTATACAATAAATAGTGACAAAAAAGTTCATTAATCTAATAAAGAAGGTAGAATTTGGGTGAGCAAGGGCATTCCAAGCAGAATAAGTGTAAGGGGTGTGTCTCAGCCAGGGCTCCAAGCTGGTTTTCTTTAGCATTCTGCTGCTACAAGTCCAGGACTGGCTCCCCCTTTCCAGCTTAGGATGTCCTGGCAGGTGGCAGGGGTGTCAGCTTGGTGATCCAACTGGAACTGATGCGGGCCAAGCGAGTAGCCCCCCACCCCCACCCCACTGGACAGCTTTTAAATCTCCTCTTCCCTAGTTTCTTAGCCCATGGCTTTGATTCCTCTTCTAATCAGTTTCTGAAACCTAGACTAAAGATTGCCCCTGGACTGANATATATGCACCCCTGTGCTCTACTGCAGTGCTATTTACAGTAGCCAAGATATGGAAACAACCGAAATGCTCATCAACAGACAATTGGATAAAGAAATTGTGGTATATTTATACAATGGAGTATTGCTCTGCCAAAAAAGGGAATGAAATCTTACCATTTGCAGCAATATGGATGGACTTAGAGGATATTATGCTAAGTGAAATAATCAGACTGAGAAAGACAAATACCATATGCTTTCACTTTTATGTGGATTCTATAGAGCAAAATAAATGAACAAAAAAAAAATACAAACAGACTCATAGATACAGAAAACAAACTGATGGTTACTAGATTGGAGGGGGCTTGGGGAGTGGGTGAGAAAGGTGAAGGGATTAAGAAGTACAAATTGGTAGTTAGAAAATAGTCACAAGAATGTAAAGTACAGTATGGGGAATATAGTCAATTTTGTAGTATATATATATATAGTGTCAGATGGGTACTGTACGTATTAGGAGATCACTTTGTAAGTTATATGGATGTCTGACCACTGCGATGTGTACCTGGAACTAATATAGAATATTATCAAATATCAACTATAATTTTTTAAAAAATTGTCACAGAAACATAAAGTACAGCATAGGAAATGTAGTCAATAATATTGAAATAACTATGTACAGTGTCAGATGAGTAATAGACTTATTAGGGTTACACTTTGTGAGGTATATAAATGTCTAATCACTATGTTGTTTTTGCATACCTGAAACTAATTTTAAAAAGGGGGAAAATAAAAACTGCTAGAAGATTTCACAGTCATTAAAACTGATATTTTTTATAAAAACGTATATGAAGTACAATAAGACTTTTCCAGTTATTCATGTAACATTCATTAAGAGCTGACTATATGTTAGGTTCAGGAGATACAGAAGTGAGAGATTCCCTGCCTTTGACTTGCTTAATCTAAAGGGGAGGCAGATAAAGAAACAGTGATTGCAATAGAAGGCAATAATGCTATGATGGAGGGAAGCACAGGGTGTTGTGGGAACGTACCATTGAGTTGAGGGTCAGGGAAGCTGCCTGCAGAGGCAGCAGGAGAAGTAAGCGCGGCCAGGTGGCCAGGTGAAGGTGTGACACAGAGTGGGCTGGCATGGTGTCCAGGGAGGACAATAGCATTTGCAAAGTGAGAAGGGTGAGTTCAGCAAACCACCAAGAGTTCAAGTGTGACTGGAACATAAGATGTGAAAAGAGAAGTGGAAAGAGATGTGACTGGGCAGACAGACTGGGTCCTCACCTGGAAGGACCTTGTAGGCCATTTGACAGCACCTGGAATTTATCCTTTCAGCATTCTGGAGTCACTGGGATAACTTAAACTGAGGGAATTTTGTGATCAGATTTGCCCTTTAAAGAAAGCACTCTAATAAAGGATTAAGAACAAGATTGGGGGAGGCTGGAAAACCTCATATACCTGCACTGATGTTCAAATTATTCCCACACACCCCTTTGAAATCAATTTGCAACACAAAATGGGGGTAGAGGGGTGACAAACCTATTAATTGTGAGTAGGGAGGGATGGCTGGGAGTTCACCGAGGAATAAGATTGAAAACAATAATAAAAGGGAAACATGGGTGAACAAGCCAGGTAAGATCCCTGACCTCTCAGAGTTCATCTTTTGGAGTTACAGCCCAAGAGCCTGCAAAAGGAACGGAAGGTCAACAGGGGAACCCCAAGGAGCCTGGTGTGAGAGCTCACCCCTCCCGCTCCTCAAGACAACAGGGTGTATTCATTCTCATTGTGAGATTGTTATGATTGTTTTTAGACACATAAGAGGGAATGAGTTGGGAGAGGAGTGTGAATTATGCTCAAAAAGTAATGGGATTTAAGCAAGTCGAACTCTGGCAGAAGCTCATTTCTGGGGAGCTGGATTTCTGAGAGATCCGTGATCCCTCTGAAATCTGTTCACCCCCAGGCCGCTGCATTTCAATAAACAGCCTCACATCACCTAGATAAGCAAGTCAAAGCCTTAGAAGTCGCCCCTCATGTCTAAGTCCCCCACCCACTAGAAATCTTGGTTCTACTCCTAATGCATATCTAGAGGATGTGCACTTTGCTCCGTCTCCAGAGCCAACAGCCTAATGTAGACCAGCATCATTTTGTGCCTGGAACCACTTCTAACTGCTCTCACAGCTTTCACTCTCTCAACCCTCAGTGTACTCCGTAGAACAGAACGATCTTCTTGAAATGTTAATAAGACCTTATAACCCATCCCTGCTTCAAACCTTTCATTGACTTGGGAACAAACCCAGTCTCTTTAACCTGGCCAAGAATCTGTTCTTACCGACATCTCTCTTGCTTACTAGGCTATTGCAACCTCTCTTTCAGTTCTTCTTGCCCCAGGCTCCTGCCCCAGGACCTACACTCAGGCACCACCTCCCATTTTTGTACCTAGCTAACTCCTCTCCTTCAACTCCAGATTTGAATGTCACNCTGCAGATACCTGGCCTCTGCGGCCCTGCTAGCAGGAAAAAAAAAAAAATGTTCTTTAGCTAAATCCTCAGTGGTAACTAGTGGGGGAGGTAAGGGGTGGCAGGGAAGGCCTGGCTGGAGTGAAGGCTTGCATGACCTCCAATGAGGGCAGAGCCTCAGAATGTTGGCACTCCCACCTTGCCAGGCTGTTTACAGTACAAGAAGATGGACCCCATCCTCACAGTTGTTGGTTTTGTCCTATGATGAGCTTCCATTGCCTTCCAATCGCTGCTTTACCATTAACCAACTTGGATCAGTTTGTCTGGCACTTGACATTGAATTAGAGATGTGAGGGTTTCAGGGCTTGGGCATGGATTTCAGTCCTTAGGTGCCCCCTGCACCCCTTATCCTGCCCTTTTCCAGGACCTGCACTCTGGAGGAGACTTGTTGCTGGAATCTACAAATTGTTTTTGGTTTTTTTTTGGATTTTAAATAAAATTGCTATTGTAAGATGCACATAAAAAGTGCTATCAACAAACAACAAGTGTTGGCGAGGATGTAGAGAAAAGGGAACCCTTGTGCACTGTTGGGATTACAAATTGGTGCAGCCACTATGGAAAAGAGTATGGAGGTTCTTCGAAATATTATAGAACTCCCTTATGACCCAGCAATTCCACTCCTGGGTATTTATCCTGTGGACGGAAAAGGGGCCGTAGGTTAAATCTGACAAGCTCAGGAGATTGAAAATAACCACATAAGATGGCGTGAGCATAAAAAACTTTCATAACCAAGTGGGCCATGGTGGGAAGTCACATCTTTAGCTTCCTTCATCAATTTGGTCTGTGCCTTTTCAGTGAGCC